TACATGAAAACCGCATAGTATGCTGCACGTGTAGGTTCCAAGGATCTTTTGATTTTTTCGTAGCCCAGTTCAACCGATTTGTGATAAGAATGTCTCTTTGACTTTTCCGCACGTGAACGCGCTTCAGAGGCAAAGCTCGCGTCCTTGCACGAATTGAACGTTGAACCCCGACAATGACACGAACCAGGGAACATCTTTTCGTCCACTGATCATCGTGAATCATCAGTCGGTCACGAGTCGACGATAGTACACGACAACAGTATTTATATCAGCGCAGATTTAGATAAATTGATGGTTTTTTAGGAGGAAACCAAATCAATTCCGATTTGTAAACTTTTCAACTTATAACCAATCACGCATGTAACACATATTAATAAAACTATCGAGTAAATGCGATTTAATAAAATCAGTATTGCTTAAGAATACCAGTATTGCTTGAGAATAGAAAAAATTTATTTAAAAACGGAAAAAGAAGAAAAATATCTATGCATAATAATGATAGGAAAAACTTATTAAAGTTTATATCAATGAATCAACAAGATGTATTTTGTATTTTGTAATTAACGCGTTCCCTTTATTGTTATTGTTATTTCTTTACATTCGGTTTGCACTCATAATTTTTCCGACTGAAGTAAGAATGAAGTTGCAAACTTTATGAATTTTGAAATCGATTGAGTCCTATCAGAAGTTTAGGGAAAAAGCACCAAGGAAAATGAAGGATTCAAGTGAAACAGGGGAAACGATAGAATGCGAGAATGGTCTCAACTTTTATCGAATCTGGCGTCGCACCATCGACCCCGTCGACCCTCAAAACCCGATAAAATGACTGGCTTCTATTCGAACATCAAATGCGTTCGCGCGTTATCGAACTATTTTATCCTGTGGTAAATCGAGTCGTCGTGTCGCGTCTTTGAAAATTCCATGATACGCACAAAGTTATTTGACCTTTTTTTGACATATTGAGTTTTTTGAAAAATTTTTCTACGCTCTGACACGATCGTTTATGTATTTGAAGAAGAGTATTGAATATGTCGTTCCACGTTCCATATCTATATAGTGTAAATTGTCTCCCATATAGTCACAACATTAGAGTTCAAAGAACTAAGCAAACAACTAACTAAACTGAATATGATTTAAACTAAATATGTATTTAATGTTTAATGATTCAAATTATACATGCGTTGCTAAATATGGTTTCATGTTTAATGATTCAAATTATACATGTATTACTATAAAAAAATCTGACTAGAATTTAATGATTCATCTAATGAGATAATAAGATTAATTATCGCCTCTTAATGTTTAGATAACATTTTTTCTATAATATCAATAAAAGAAACAAAAATAAAATTAAAGGAAAAAATATAATAAGCAATTGTACTTGAGCTAATGTTTAGGCGACTTTACGATTCATATTTGAGAAAACAGAAAAATCAGTTGGAATATCGAGTTAACCTGTAAGAGGCAATCAATATGAATTTCTTTCCGGTATTACTGGTCAAATATAAAATAAGTGTTTGGAAAGGGACCAGAACGACGATAACATAGTTAGAAAAGATAATTAGAAAAGAGTGGAAGAATGTTATCGTTATCGATGTTCCGTAGCAAACAAACATCGGTTGTTTTAATACAGAGAATCGCAAGGAAAATATGCAATAATATATTATCATATTTCATATTGTAATACGTCAAATATATGGGTGGTGCGATCACGACACAGACCAATCAATGAATACGGTAAAGTGCCTTACCCCCTTCCACGTGACCTCGTCTTCATCACGACTACGTCATATCGTTGACCCCATGAGCAAAATAATACACGATATTTAACAACACTTTACTGAAACACAAATATATTTTGTGATCCATGGTATCGAAAGTGACGTGCCCTCACTTTTGATTATCTTAATGTTATAAATCACATAATACATGGAGCGTGGAGTACGTCTCCACGTGGAACGATATGTCAAGTCAGCGCTTGTGCCGTATTCTACTTT